AGAGGCAGGGTCAGCTCTTCCACAGGGGGCACAGGAACCACTGCCTCCCTGGGTTTACACTGGCCGGAAGCTGCCACCAGCGGTTGGAGCCAGGAATCCAACCCAGGCCTTCCAGTAAGTGGGTTGCTTAATGCCTGCCCCAGGAATTTTCACATAAGAATACAGCTCTAGGCTTTAGCATCTTGTGGCTAGCAGCCTATAAACACTGATTCAAGTCTTGGCGGCTCCACTTCTCATTCAGCTCTCACTAGTGTGCCTGGGAAGATGGCCCAAGTTTTTGGGGGCCCTGCCACCCATTGGGAGACCCAGATGGAGCACCTGGCTCACACCTGGCCCTCCATGGAGTGAACCAGCACCCCGAGAGCTTTACCTGGCTCTCCCTCTCTGGAACTCTTTCAAATAAATAAATAAAAATAAACCTTTAGGGTCCGGCAGCGTGGCATATCAACTAAAGTCCTCGCCTTCAACACCCTGGGATCCCATATGGGCGCCGGTTCTAATCCTGGCAGCTCCACTTCCCTTCCAGCTCCCTGCTTGTGGCCTGGGAAAGCAATCGAGGTCGGCCCAAAGCGTTGGGACCCTGCACCTGCGTGGGAGACCCGGAAGAGGTTCCTGATTCCTGGCTTCGGATCGGCACAGCACTGGCCACTGTGCTCATTTGGGAGTGAATCATCGGATGAAGATCTTTCTGTCTCTCCTCCTCTCAGTATATCTGACTTTGTAATAAAAATAAATCTTAAAAAAAATGATAAATATACCTTTGAAAGTGCTAGTGCTGAGATCTAAGATACACATATTAGAAGGTGGACAAACTTTTCAAGAAGTTTTACAAAGCTGTCAGACTGTCCACCGAAAACGGTTGTTATCAATTTATTTATTTTTAAAAATGTATTTATTTTTATTGCAAAGGCAGATTAGATTTACAGAGAGGACAGAGGATTTTCCATCCTCTCGTTCATTCCCCCCCCCTGCCCCCCCGGTTGGCCAGAGCTGAGCCAATCCGAAACCAGGAGCTTCTTCTGGATCTCCCACACAGGTGCAGGGTCCCAAGGCTTTGGGCCATCCTCGACTGCTTTCCCAGGCCACAGGCAGGGAACCTAATAGGAAATGGAGCTACAGGGATCCTGGCACTGCAAAGTGAGAACTGAGCCATGTGCCATCAAGTGGCGCTCAGTTTTATCAACTTATTCTACCAAATCTATATAAGCATATATATGCTTATTTCCCAGTATTTTTATCAGCAGGGAAAAATAAGAAAGTTTTATTTTTTAAATTACGTTATTAGTAACCTGAACAATTTAAAATTCATTTTATTTTCATTCCATTTAAAAGGCAGAGCTGGGGTGGGGGGAATCCCAGTGCCTATAGAACTGTGTCACATAATATAATGTAATGTAATTAAAAAAAAAAAAAAAGGCAGAGCTTTTCCACCCAGTGGTTCACTCCCAGGCAAATCCCAGAACTCAATCCAGGTTTCCCAGTGGTGGCAGAGGCCCAAAAGGTGATCCATCACCTGCTCCCTCCCAGAGCAAACTTTAGCAGGAAGCTGGACATTTGGCAGAACCAGGACTCCAACCAGGAACCCTGAAGGAGGGGGAGGGCAGTTGTTCCAAGTGGCAACTTTAACCCCTGCCCCTCAATTTTTCTACTGGTTACCTGCCCAACATCTGTGAATTGCCTATTTATTTCCTTCATTCCTTCTTCTAAATGTGTACTTTCCTGATTTGTAAATGTCCCTCAACTTATATAGTATTAAGAAATCGAATAACCCTGCCCACATATTATAAATCTCTCTTGCTTGATCTGTTTTCTTCAGTTAACTTTGCTTACCATTTCTGATAAACAAAAATGGCTTTTATGTTTATGTAGTGAAATCTGCATTGCTATCACAGGGTGCTTACATTTCAAGATCTCATCAATTCACATATTGTTGTTATTAAGGTTTGCTGTGCCAGTTCAGCCCTCCCAAGACGTGTGTGTGTTTTCTGGTAACTTAAGGCTTTTTTTTTTTTTAACTTAAAGTTCCATCTGGAACCCATTCTGTGGTCTGGTGCAAGGTCAGGACGCTCTGACTCCTCGCACAGCAGAGTTCTGTCCCTCCACCAACAAAACCATTAACTCGGTTCTCTCCAGTCCCAGGCGCCAGCGGCCCTCCCAGGGGGCTAACCCTGCTCTCTGGCCTTTCCCTGCCCCCGACCCCAGCAGCCTTCTGTAAAGAGGAAACTTCATACCACAGTCCTGCCTGAAACGTCCAGCAGCTTCCTGCTCAAGACTGGAGTTTACGGTGCCTCCTACGGCCCACACTGGCCCGGCTTACTCCTGGCCTCCCAGCCCGAGCCTCCCACGCTTGCTATCCCCTCCGCCTGAAAGACTCTCACCCCAGACCTCGGTTTAAATTATTGCTTCTCACTGTTCCAGTAATGTCACCTCCTCCAACAGCTTCCCCGACCCTGACACCTTCCTCAGCAAGGCAGCCCGCCTTAGCGACTCCCCACAGCCACCATTCCGTTTCGCTTTCATTCAAGGAACCCGCCATGAGCCAACTCTCTGGTTCATTCCTTTATTTACAAGCTTATCGTCTCCCCTGCCCCCTTGCCATGGCAGTGATAGTCTGGTCCGCTATGTCGTCTCCCCGTTGCGGCAGGTGCTAGTGCTAGGTAGAGGAGGGGGGTAGAAATCCGAGGTTTTGTTTGCTGTCCAAGCTTGCAAAGAACCCCTAGGGCGCGTCTGATCTCGTTGAACTTGGCCAACTCCCAGGCGTGGAACCCTTCAGCCCGGATCCCCACCCCCAACTCCATCACAACATTAAACTTGCTCAAAACCCGTGCCACAGGTAGCCCTGGCTGGGGGGTGGGGGGCGCGAGGCTGATCCCCCCCTCACTCACTCACACACACACACACACACACACAGCCTGGGCGCCGTGTCCCCCTCCTCCGGGCTCCGGTGTGCCCGGCAACCGAGAGCAGCGCCAAGTTTCCGCAGCCACCATCAAGCCCCGCCCGTCGGGGGAAGGCGGGGGCACGGCCGAGCAGCTTACCAGCTCATCCGGACTGAGGACTCCGAACTGCACTCTCTTGATGGTGCGCAGCGGGCATGCGCTGTCCCCGGAGGGTGGGCCGCCCCCGTGCATGGCCGAGCGGGCGCGCTGCGCAGGCGCAAACCTCGCTACAAAAAGGCTGCGCCGCCGCCGCCCAGGCGCTCAGATCCCGTCGGGGCGGCCACCGGGAAGGACTTCCCCGAGCAGGGGAGGAAAGAGCGGGAGGGAGGGAGGAGGTGGGGGAGGGAAGAAGGCCGGGAAATGAGAAAGGAGAGCAGCCCGTCTTCCCCCTTCCCGGAGATGATTTTTTTTTTCGGCTCTTAAAAAAAAAAAAAAAAGAGGGGAGGGGAGGAAAGGTAAAGGTTTCGGGAAGGAGGAAGAAGAAAAAAGGGTAACGAATAAATAAGTAACCGGGATCCAGAACGGCAGAGGTTACGGCAGTTTGTCGCTCCCCCTTCCGGGAGCCGCCTTCTTCCCAACCGTCCCGGCCGCGCTCTCAGCGCTTCTGAAGAGCGAGCCGGCCGAGTGACGCCTTTTATAGCCTCGCCCGACGTCCCCGCCCCTTCCTTTCCCGCCCTCCCTTGCGCTACGGGGCCGCCGGCACCGGCCCGCACGGGACCCGCGCGCCTATCGCTGGGCCTCCTGGGCGGCTCCCGGGTCCGGCCACCTTGGGAAATGAGGGGGGAGGCGGATTTTTGTTTTTAAAACCCACCGCCTCCGTCCGGCGCTCGCTGTGGCATTGCGGTTTCAGAGTTGAAGAATCGAGGATCGAATTAAGCTTTGTTTATTCCGAATTGGAGGACGGCTTCCTCTCCAGCCGAAGACTCTCCTTCACGTCTCGCCGTCCCACCCCGCCGCCGCTGGGAGATGGTCTGTTCCGCGGCTCCTTGACGACGGAGGCGGGGCCGACCGGATCCTCCCCTGTGGGTTCCGGAGGGGAGGGAGGAGGCCGAGAGCTGGGGGGAGGGGGAGGGCCGCCTTGGTCTTGAATATGCAATTTCGCGCTGAATATGCATGATAAAACAAGATGGCGAGGCCTGTAGCCCCTCCGGAAGTCGCCGATGTTTGTCGAGCACCCTCCCGGGATGAGTTGAGTGCTCCTCCCGGCCGCAGATGGGGCGCTGTGCTGCGCCTTGGCCCTGGGTCCCCGGCGGCCTGAGCCCGCTCCGGGGAGAGGCCACAGAGCTCCGGAAGGAGACTGGCCACAGTCCGGGGAGAGAGGTCACGGGACCTCGACGATCCGGGAAAAGCAGATTAGCCATGGGGCGATAGGCGAAAAATCCTGGGGAATTGAGGGCCGGGTGCGTGCTCGCCCGCGCGCTTGTGTGTGTAGGGGATGGGGGGTTGGGAAAGAAGGAATCTGGGCATTAGGAAATCCTCCACCTTCTAGAACAGTTCCCAAATAATACAGCGGTGGGGGAGGGTGAGAATCCCCAGAGAGGCTCTGGTAGGGGAGGATTTCCACTGTCCCCGCAAAGCAGACACGACACTGAGTCCAGAGCCACTTTTGGAGCGAGCCTTGTTTGATGTCAGCGTCACGTCATCGCCCCAAGTGGTGGGGGCACAACCGCGAGGAAACCAAGTCATCTCCGCGCGGTGCCCAGGGAAGGGAGAATGCAGCTCCCCTCCCCCAGCGCGGCTGCTTGTTCCGCCTGCCCGAGCTCCTGGCGGCCGCAGCAGCGGCGCCTCCAACCTCAATGTTCCCTCTCTCCATTTCTAAGCCATGGTCAGTGTACCCTGCCCTTACCCCAGGCTGTGCTCGCTGCCAGGACCCAGCCTAGACATCCCCGGTTGTGCTGGGGTCTTTCATTCCTCTCCACCAAGTCCTCAGGTCACCTCTGGCTGCAGGGGCTGGGGGCGGCCATCTCCCACACCAGTTGTTGTCTTCCAGTGGCTTTGCTCTCCCATGCTTGTATTCCAGTCTTTCTATTGACCCCTGCCCTCCCCCCAAGACCCCGGCTCTCAGCTGCACTCTCGCTCCTCTACCTGCGCCTCCCTCTCACAGCTGAGATTCTGGGCAGTGATGATGGCGATGCTGCCCAACACGACTCCTGCCCCCATGATGTCAGAAGGAGCCACCTTCTCGTAGAGCACATAGTACTGCAGCATCAGGGCCACCACCACCTCTGAATGCAGGACGGCACACACTAGGGCAGGGTGGGCCTTGGTGACCGCATAGCTCACGCACACAAAGGACACCAAGGCAAGGATGCCCACTGCGCCCACGCAGCTCCAGCTCAGAGAGTCAGTGGGCAGTACAGGGGTCTGCACCAGAAAGAGGCTTGGCACGGAGCCCAACAGCCCCACCAACCCAAACAGGAAGGCCACTGTCGGTAGGCAGGAGGGGAAGTCCAGGGAGCGGTAGATCAGAAGCCCCAGCGACAAGGCCAGGCCTCCCAGGAAGGCCTGCACGTAGCCCAGGGCAGTGTGGATGCCAGTGGTCCCCTCCTGCAGTGTCCCTAGTCCAGGTCCCACAATGATGATGAGGCCCAGTGTGCTGCCCAACAGGCCACACCAGTCGTATCCACTGAGACCCTGGCTCTCGAGGCAGAGGGAGAGGATAGCAGAGCACATGGTGGAAGATCCTTTGCGGACGGTAGCCACGTTGCCGGCAGGCACCACCTGGATTGCATTGTAGGCGCATCCTATACTGATGACGTTGAGCAAGGCATGGAGGCAGGCCCGGCCCCGGACATCAGGGGGTCCTAACAGCGGGTCGCCTCGTAGGTGGAGCAGCAGAGCGATGGGGAGGTGGAAGAGACAGCGACAAAAGAGCAACTCCATCGAGGGCAGGTGGGAAGCCCGGTAGGCCATGCGGGAAAAGGGGCCCACGAAGCCGGCAGGCAGGCCCCCGCCCAGCAGGGCCACCAGCAGGCCCTTGGTGGCATCGGAGGGCCGGCAGCGGTGGTGGCTGGACGAAGGAGTGGATGGCGGCGGTGACTGGGTGAAGTCAGGCAGGTTGAAATAGGGGTGACTTTGAGCCTTTGGATGGAGAAAGGAATTGAGGCCCCGAGGACTGCCATAGCTCCCTGACTTGGGGCTAGGGATAGGGACTTGGGACGGGGTGAAGGCCAGCCTGGGATGTGGGTCCCTGCAGGACAGTACAAGTGTAGCCTTTCTTGTAAGGAACTCTTGGGAGCTTAGGGAGCTTAGCAAGGGAATCTAAAAGGTAGATGAGGGGGCGGGATTTGAACAGGTAAAGCAGGAGGCAGTGGTGAGCAGAGGCGAGCCAGGAGGACCTTAAAAGGCTGTTGAAATAAGGAAGGGGTACAGCTTCTGATGCTCTGTGTCCATGTGATGTCACAGGCTCCAGGTACATCCAGGTATCCCACTAAGAATTTTACCTGTGTATACCTCTGGGAGAGCCGGGGAGATTTAAGCGAGAAAGAGAGGGGGAGTGGCCAGGAAGGACAGAGAGGAACCCTGGGCAGGGTGCCCACACACCCCTCCACCCAGCCCCCACACTTACCATCTCTCTTGGGATCTCCTCCTCTCCTCCTGGTTTGCGGGCTAGGACCCCTCAGAGCTCCAGCCATTGTGACCTGGCTGGAATGGGGGAGGGGTTCTCTCTTTGGAACCTTCCTGGGGTGGCGGGGGGGCTTTTTCTCTGTTTCCTCACTGTCTTACTTCTCTGTTCACTCCTCTCCATGACTGAAATTGGATCCCTTTTCTCTTTTTGTGTCTGGCTCTGTGATGAGGTTTCCACCAGGTTTGACCAGCTTGTGTGTGTGTGTGCATTTTTTTTTTTAAGATTCATTTTTCTTTTTTATTGGAAAGGCAAATTTCCTGAGAGAAGTAAGGAGAGACAGAAAGATCTTAATTTTTTTTAATTTTTAAAAAAGATTTATTTATTTTTATTGTAAAGTAAAATATACAGAGAGGAGGAGGGATAGAGAGGAAGATCTTCCGTTCAATGATTCATTCCCCAAGTGAGCACAACAGCCGGTACTGTGCCTATCTGAAGCCAGGAGCCAGGAACTTCTTCCGGGTCTCCCACACAGGTGCAGGGTCCCAAGGCTTTGGGCCGTCCTTTACTGCTTTCTCAGGCCAACACAGGGAACTGGATGGGAAGTGGAGCAGCCAGGACACAAACCAGTGCCTATATGGGGTGCTGGGGCTTCCAAGCAGAGGATTAGCCAATTGAGCCATTGCATGAGCCCTCATGATGTGCATCTGTTTACCTTTTCCTTCAGAAAGGTTTTGAGGAAAAGAGCTGGGAGAGTCTGCTCCTCTCTCTCCAACACCAGGGAGGCAGCTTTGAGACTGGGTTTTTCTTCTGTGTTGGTTCCACCTGGTGTTTTGTTGGTGGTGTCACCCAAGGCTCACGCCAAGACCTGTGCACATAGACCTAAGTCTATAGACATGGAAACCTCGACCTGGGGAGACCCAGGATCAAGCTGTGTGCCCATCTGCCCTGGGGCTCGTCGATATGCGCCAGATCAGCAAGGCTGGGCCTTCCTTGCTCAGGCTCCTGTTGGCTGGCTTTCTGTGCCTTCCTGGGAACGGTGCAAATGTGTTCCAGGACTGCCTTGTGGATGTGCTGACCCCAGGACCAACCCCGAGACCAACTGTAGGTCTGCTTTGTTGCCTCTGTGTGTGTGTGTGTATGTGTGTGTGCACCTGGTTTTGGGTGTTGTGCACAACTGAGTGAAAGGCATGCAGTAAGGTGTGTGTGTGTGTGTGTGTGTGTGTGTGTTGGGGGGGTGGTTCTTTCCAAGAAGTGGGTGGTCGTGCGCCCCTATGGGGTGCTATAACCCGGCCTGCACCCTGCTGGGTGTTCATCGGCCGCTGGCCCTGTCTGCTTAGTTTAGTTCCCTGCGCTATATCGGTCGGGCAGAAAGCCGTCGGGCGCTCTGAGCCTGGTGTCGGTGTTGGCTGTGCTGCGCCGGCCTCCTCGAGGCGGCGGCGGAGCTGGGGGGGGACTGTTTCCGGGGGTGGGGGTGGGGGTAGGACCGGGGCGGGGGGAGCCGATGATGTCAGCGGCGGCGGCGGTAGCGGCGGTGGCGGGGCCGGGCCGGGGCCGGGCGCTGGGGGGGCCGGGGCTGGAGCCGGAGCTGGAGCAGGAGCAGGAGCTGGAGGCGGGCGAAACCGAAGCGGCCGGGGGCGGCCACGGTGATGAGCCGGGCCTGGCGGACGCGGCGCCATCGCAGTCAGGTGGGCCCCGGGGCGAACCGGGACAGGACCAGGGAGGACCGGATCCAACTGCGGGCGGGTGCAGGGAGGTGGGGAGCCCTTCCCGCTGCCCGGCGCTGCGGGGGCCCGGACCGCGCCCCGCGCCCAGGCCTCTCCTCTTTGGAGTTGACCTGGGGGCTCAGGGGTCGAGGGCTGAAGCTAGCCCCGCCCCCAGGCGCGCACGGCACTGGGGGGCGACTAAGAGGGCCCTGGTAAGGCGTCGGAGTAAGTGGTGGCTGGGGGGCCACGATCGCCTGGGGCCTTGGAAGGGGCCGCGCTCACGCCTCTTTGAAGGGTTAATTCTGCAGCCCAATGCCCCCCTCCCGCCGTGGGGCAGGTTGGGGGTGGGGTGGGGCTGGTGTGAGCCCGGGCAAGCGCTGCAAGCTGCTGGGAGGGCGATGGCGTAGGAGCCAGGCAGAGAGGGGGAGGGGTGGGTCACCAAGAGCCCCAGAGTGTTGGGGTGTGCGGGGGTGCACCAGGCGAGCCCGGCAGGGAGAGGAGCACCCCCCCCCTTCCCCAACTGCCGCGCCGTCGGGCAGGGTTGTGGTTGTGAGTCTTGGAAATTGTGTGTTTCCTACTGTGTTGTGGGGCAAGGTAAACCTTTCTGCCTGCTGCTTGGGCAGCCTGGGGTCCCAGTGGGGCCATTCCCACTCCTACCCCGGGGATGGGAGACAACCAGAAGGGGTGTCCAGTGATGTGGAGCGGAACTGCAAGATGGGGCCCTGTTGCTCTGGATGACAGCTGAGCACAGCGCCCTGAGTGTGGAGTTTGTGAGATGTGGGCTCCTCCGGATGTTTTCCGCGAGCATGTATTTGCTGGCTTACACTTGCACCCGCGAACTCCGGCGGTCTCTCAGCTGCTGTTTTCTGCATAGCTGCCGTGCAGTGTGTGTGGTGGAGGGTGCCAGGGTGCAGGCCCCGGGGTGGAGGTGGGGGGGCTGTTGTAGGCCTTTGAAGATGTCAGGTCAGGTGTGGGGCCCAGGTGTGGTCTGGCCTGGGTCGGACCTGCGGCTTCATATGGATTTGTGTTTCTGTGAGGAGCCAGGTGCATGGTGGTTGTGTGTGGGGGGGTGGGAGGTGGAGGGATTGCGCCTCTAGAACTCAGTTCTCTCAGATCAGGGTCATGGGGAAAACAGACAAATGCCAGGGCGTGTCTGGCATGCCTGGGGGTCAACCAGGCTGTGTGTGAGGGACACTGGAGTGGGGGGATGTGAAAGGCAGGCATGTTTATGGGATCATGGGGAGCCAGGCCAGAGGAAGGTCGTGTGTGTGTGTGTGTGTGTGTGTGTTTGCCACATTCTCCTCGGGATTCTTTTGTGACGTCGTTTTGTGGGAGCCTGTCCGGGCTGTCAGGCCGGGAGGCAAGCTGGTCAGAAAACACTTGTGGGGAGGGAGGTGGCGTGACAAGGGCAGTGTAGGCCTGGGGCCTAGAGAGACCAGCCGCCAGCTGTGCCTGCCTACCTTCTGTGTGCTTCAGGGGAGCCTGGTGCGGCTGCCAGGAGATATGTTTCATGGGGGGGGGGGGGCGTGAGATAGGGAGTGGGGGTAAAATAAATGCAGAGAAGACCTAGGGCAGGGCAGCAGGCCGTGGCCTCTGCAGGGTCTGTGTGCTAGCCCCTGGGCCGGCTGCCTGCCCGCCCGCCCGCCAGTGGCGTCAGGGTCACCGGGCAGAGAGGCCGGGCGGCTGCAGGGGAAGTGAGCTTAGACAGAACGGCTCCCTGGCTGTGTTTATGTAAAGGCCGGGTGTGACTTTTGTCACTAAAATGGAAAAAAGAAACATGAAGTTTGCAGTCTCCTCCTCCGCTCCACCGCCTGCCTTCATCTCTCTCTCTCTCTCTCTCTCTCTCTCTCTCTCTCTGCCCCCTCTCGGGTATCTCTGACGCACATTGGGCCCCGCGGCGGCTGCCACCCGGTGAAGGGCCTCCGAACGGAATTTGCTCACTAGGCAGATTCCTCAAAACAGGTTTCCCTCACCTTTGGGGCCCTGGTCTGTCAGTAGGTGCGTCTGTGTGTGTGTGTGCGTGTGTGCTTGTGCGCATGAGCGTGCACCCATGGGCACATGCATTCACAGTGGGCACGCCACTATGGACCGACTTGGTCTGGCCTGGCTGGGAGAAGTGGCATGTACACACACGCGCACACACACACACACACACACACACACACACACACACGGAGGAGCAGGAGACTCCCACCACCCCCCGGGATGGGGGTGGGGAGGAGACCCAGTGGCTATCCGAACCCTACATGACAGGTGCAGGAGGCCTATGGAAGGACAAAGACCTAGATGAGCACCTAGGAGACCTTGTGGTGCAGGCACCCTTCCATATCTGTGTAATAGGACAAGTGCTATGGCCTACGTGTCTTCCAAGTCACCGCAGAGGAACTGTGCCTGGACCAGCCCCTGCAGGCTCTCTCTGCCTGCCCTGACAAGCCATGGTATAGAGTACTTGGTGACCCCTTGCTGTGTTCTCAGTATGAATGTCCTATCCGGCCCCTCCTCTCGTCCCCACCGTGGACACGCGTGCTCTCATCAGCGGCCTTCTTCAAGGCCAGGTGACCCAGGGTCCTGGGCCAGTCATTCACCCCAAGTGACTCAGCCAGCAGGAAGGAAAGCTGTAGGAGTGCTTGAACCCAAGCAGGCAGGTTCCAGGTTCTCCTGCTCCTTAGAGCATGTACTGGATCTCTCGGTGCACCTGTGCCCCGCTCCCCTGACACACGTGCCCCCCTCCCCTGACACACACACACACTTCTTCCCAGTTTCTGCAAAACTTAGCGACTGCAGCCCTTCATTGCAGAAAACCAATATGCTAAGGCGTTGATCTTGAATCGTCCCAGCCCTGGGCGTGAGGACTTAAATGTCTGCTGCCTGTACGAGTGGGTGCTGACCGTGGCACACACAAGTGTTGATGAGTCAGAGGAGGGAGAGACTTTTCCCTGCCCTGTGTGTCGGACGACCAAGAAGATGACATTTGACTTCGACCTTAACATTTTGAAGAGATTTGCGAGAGAATGTTTCTGGTAGGCGAAGCAGCATGGGTGAAGGGGTGAAGGTGTGAAGGTGCGGGGTGTGGGGGGCAGGTGGAAAGGGCGGGAGAGCCCTCTGGATGCTAAGAGAAAGATCAACGAGACTAGGAGAAGACTAGGACTAGACCAGGACCATTGTATACCTGCTAAGGGAATTTGAACTTCACTCTGGCATTGTTGGGAACCCCCAAAGGCTTTGAGCCCACTGTGTCTGCAGTATTTGCACTCTTAGGAGAAAGAAGGCTGGAAGGTGTCGGGGACAGGTGGGAAGCTTGGCGGCCATGGCTGTGGACAGACCGTGTGAGCATTAGCCAGGATCTGAACTAAGTGTAGGGGCCAGAGGCAGGTTGAAGAACAAGCTTTGAGAGCTGTCCCCAAGCCCAGCTGTGACTATGGGTTTGGGAACAAGGGAAAGGGTGGAGTCAGATGTGACACACTTAGCACGTAGCACGTGAGATCTTGTGTGGCGATTTATGTAACTGGCTGGCCGCTGTAGCCCCTTCTGTGCAGGATCCAGCAGTGTGACAAAGAGGAAAGTTTCACCTCTGGGGTTGGTCAGTCGGGCCTGGGTTCAAGTCCTGATTTTGTTCCTGGCAGCTGTGTGTCCCCCAGCAAGGTGAACCAGCATTCACAAGATGCCAACATTATAGACGGAGGATTAGCTTGTTATGCCACTGTGCTAGTCCCTAAGCTCGCTCTCTCTCTCTCTCTTTTTTTTTTCCAGCCTTGCCTTGTGTGTCACACAGATGTTTTAAATGCTGAGTTGATACAGAGAATAAAGCAGACAAGGATCTGTGCCTACCCGAAGCCTACCTTCTGGAAAGGACATATTCTAAGTGCCAAGGAGGAAGATAAATCTGGGTAGGGGGATAGGAAGTTCTTAGGGAGCAAGCAAAGGGAGAGGATTGTTGTCCAGAGAAAACCTGTGGGGACAGTAACTTTTGAGTCCAGATTCCAGTGGAAGCGGGTAGCCAGCCCTGGGGCTCTGAGCAGGTAAGAATATTCCAAGCAGGGAAAGCAGCAAGAGGCAGAGCGGGGCTGGTGGCTTGGGGGTCGCGCTCAGTTGCCCAACATTGAGGTCCCAAAGCATGCGAGAGTCAAGAAATGGCAAGAGTAAACAAAAGCCTTGAAATCACAGTGCCGCCAAGCTGGCCGGAAGCCTGGTTTCTGCCTCTGTTTTTATTGTGGTGGTGATGGTTCAGCATGCTTCCCCACCTCCCACCCCACACACTCCAGGTTGTCCAGAGCTGAGTTCCAAGGTTTAGGGACAGGTGTCCCTCGGTATCCATTGTCCGGGGTAGGGGAGTTGGTTCTAGGATCTGCAGGTCCCCAAATGCAGTGTCACCCTTAGATTAGAACAGCCTAGGATTTTCACCGTGTAACTTCCCATCCTCCTATAAGCTTCACTGTGACTCCTTTTCTTTGAGAGGCAGACAGGGACAGACAGCTCCCAGGTCCCAAGTACCTGCAATAGCTAGAGCTAGAGTAGGCTGGAAGCTGGAGGGGCCAGGAACTCAGTCCAAGATCTCCCCTGGAAGGGGCAAGGGCCAATGCTGCCACCACCTCCCAGGGTGCATATGGATGAGAAGTAGGAACCATGAGACTGAAGGAGAACTTGAACCCATGCACTCCTGTGTAGAAGGCACATGTCCTGATAGGGGTCGTTTCCACTAGACCAAATGCCCACTGTGCTCTATATATTTTAAATCATTTCTGCCTATAATACTGAATACTACATGAATATGACTGTCAGTAGTTGTGCCATATAGCATTTAGGGGATGACAAGGGAAGCAATGTGCGTGTTCAGTACAAAGGCAGCTTTTAATTTTCCTGGAGTGTGGGTTTGACTTCAAACCACCGTACTAGCTCTTTTAGTCTTTGTGACAACTCCATGAAATGGAAACTAATTCTCCACTTTAGAGAAGAGGAGACTGAGATGCCAGGAGGGGAAATGACTTGCCCAGGGTCGCCTCACTGTTGCATTTGTTCTCTGCTACACAGAAGTCCTCTGGGGCAGTGCAGTGGTCAGTGGTGCAGCAGCTGACCTCGGGAAGCCGAACATACACACTCCAGCTCAGACAGCTGGGAGCCCAGGGGGATATCAGCCTATTGCTTCCTTTTTTTTTTTTATAAAGATTTATTTATTTTTAATACAAAGTCAGATATACAGAGAGGAGGAGAGATAGAGAGGAAGATCTTCCATCCGATGATTCACTCCCCAAGTGACCCCGATGGCTGGTGTAGTGCTGATCCAAAGCCGGGAACCAGGAACTTCCTCTAGGTCTCCCACACGGGTAGAGGGTCCCAAGGCTTTGGGCTGTCCTCGACTGCTTTCCCAGACTACAAGCAAGGAGCTGGATGGGAAGTGGAGCTGCTGGGATTAGAACCGGTGCCTATATGGGATCCCATGCGTTTAAGGCGAGAACTTTAGCCGTTAGGCTACTGTGCTGGGCCCACTCCATCGCTTCCTTACTGTCAACTTAAAAGAGAAACATTGGGCATCTGTAATTGTCTCTCAGCCTTTTTCCTCACTATGGGCTTTCTGAGTGTTGAAATGAGATGAGGTGGCCAAAATGCTTAGCAGTGCGCTTTTGCACATAGTACGTATTTCAGAAATGGCAACTCCAAAGAGCATGATGCCGATGATTCTAGGATTCAAGGTCTCTAAGGACCAGTGTCTTCGGGTCTTCGTGCTTTTCTTGGATGCCCTGGCAGGCCTTTTGCATCTAGATGTCATGGCAGTAGGCACCCAGTTGCCTACTGCAGGCCACATGTGTTCATGCAGATATACGGGCCTAGCCAAGGTGGACTGGACTTTACTCACCTACACAGAGCCACGACCTCCCTGAGGAGGCCACCAGGTGGGCTGTGGGTGCCACAAGGGGCTCTGCACCTCTCCTGCCTCCTGACGTGGTAACATCATTGGAAAGACGGGTTTTTTATTCAGACTCCTAGGCTTGTCACTAACTGCCCATACATCCTGTGGTGAACCTTCTAGCCTCACTCTGTCATGCCAAGTGACGAAGCTAGGGCGGGTTAAGTGCCAGTTGGGATACCTGTGTCCTACATCCCAGAACCTGGGTTCGATCCCTGTCTCAAGTCAATTCCAGAAGTCTAGGAGGCAGCAGTGATGGCTTGAGTGTTTGGGCTCCTGCTACCACCCGTGGGCATTTAGCGAGTGAGAAGGTAGACAAAGGAATTTTCTCTCAATCTTTCTGTTTGTTTCTGAAAGTAAAAATAGAAAAATTAAGGGCCCAGCGCAGTGGCCTAGCAGCTCAAGTCCTTACCTTGAACGTGCTGGTATCCATATGGGCACCAGTTGTAATCCCAGCAGTCCCACTACCCATCCAGCTCCCTGCTTGTGGTCTGGGAAAGCAGTGGAGGACACACCAAAGCCTTGGGATCCTGCACCAGTGTGGGAGACCTGGAGGAGGCTCCTGGCTCCTGGCTTTGGATCAGCACTGCACCAGCCGTCGTGGTCCCTTGGGGAATGAGTCATTCATTGGACTTCCGTCACTTGCTCTCTGTCTCTGCTCCTCTCTGTATATCTGACTTTACAATAAAAATAAAACAAATCTTAAAAAAAGAAGAAAAATTAAAATAGTGAAAGGAGAGTTGCTAACTGCGACTTTCCAAGGCAATGACAAATGCAACAAATGACATAATACAACAAAGGGTGCCTGGGTTGAGTGATGGCCATGGTGGGAGAGGCTGGGAGGCTGAGCAGCCATGGCGGTGGATGCAGTCCCCCTTCCCCAGCGTCCCTGGGGTTCCTGGCACCTCCACAGTGTTGCAACTAAATGAGCTGTTGTGCACCCCAGTGTCTGCGCCTGGCACTTGGATTCTTACCACTTGTAAGTTTCGGCCATGTTTGCTCCCTTCTATCTCTGTGTCCAGGAAAGGCCATCGCCAGTCTCTGGGGGAGCTTGAAGAGAGGGTTATTGAGGGGGTGGAGGAGACCCGTTGTGCTGATGGCCTGAGGAATACATGGGCAAGAGCGCAGGGTGCGAGGTGGCGGAGTGGGGTGAGGGGAGGAATGGGGGAGTCATCTGAGGAGTGATGGGGCACATACCTCTGGGGACCCAGCTTTGCAGAATAAAGACGGGAGGGCCCACCTGTTATGGCCAGTTCTGAGTACCCCTGGAGAGGTTACTGTTTAGCTCTGGACCCTGGGATCTTCAGCTCCAACATGAGAACCCAAGGTCCTGTAGGCGCCTGCACAGGAAGTGGCTGTACTTTCTGAGCTGTTAACTGTCCCAATCTGTGTGTCACCTGCTCTTCCTTTTGGGGGGCGCCTCCTAGCAAGAGGTGAGAGAGGTAGGGGGTGTCTGGGTGGCCTTGAATTGGGGTCAGGGAGTAGGAGAGAAAGCCTCATTGCTCCCAGTTGGGGGACAACTCCAGGGTTCGTGCAGCTGGTGCACGTGGTCCCTGGTCTGTGGTGGTCTTTGGGGGTGACCTGGCCCTCGGGCCAAAAGCCTCTTCTAAGATTTATGGGGCTGAGGGAGGATTGCTAAGGGGAGGACCTCTCCTTATTTTAATTTCTATCAGCTTTGGTCCAATTTAGGGGAAAAAAAAAAAAACAACTCAAGACAATCTGTTTTGATGTATAAATAGTTGCATTGTGAGAAAAGAAAACTAACAGATCTTTGATTTCTGGGGCCAGAGGGCCTTGAGAGAGCTGTGCCAGGCTGCCCATGGCCTGTGGGGTCAGCCTGTGCTGCCTTCTCGCGTGGAGGTGGCCTGGGACAAGGCCAGTGAATGCTCTCGTGGCTGCCACACGTGCAGACAACAGCCCACGTGACCTCTCCTGGGGACCCCTTCCTGCCGCCTCTCAGGCTCCCCATGACATTCCTTCCTTTTCTCCACAGAGGGAAGAAGCCCAGCCAGAGAGACGCACTGAGCTGCTGCTGCTCCACTCCATGTTGGCCGTGCTGACAGGTGAGGGGACATTGACCTGAGGCAGCTAGGCCGGCCGGCAGAGGTCATCAGCTCTGGGCCAGGGTGGGGGTGGTCTCTGCCCCTCTCTTCCCATTGCCCACTTCTCTAATCAGAGACGCCCGCAGAAGTGGTTATTCTTTTTGCCCTTCCCTGTAACCTGGGGTAGCCCAGACCAGCAGACTCCTGGGCAGCTAAGGGTTAATCCCTGACCTCCAGGAGCTCAAATTACTCAGTCTCTGGACCGGCAGCCTCTGGGCCCTCCCAGTTTTCACCTGCCCAGTCTGAGAGGCCCCTGAAGACTCTCCCTGGCCTCTTCTTCCCCCTCCCCCCACCTGTCTAGGCCGGCGCCATGCCCCCGCCTGCAGAGGTGACAGATCCGTCCCATGCCCCTGCCGTCCTGCGCCAGCTCAATGAGCAGCGGCTCCGTGGCCTTTTCTGTGACGTCACCCTCATAGCTGGAGACACCAAGTTCCCGGCTCACCGCAGTGTCCTGGCTGCTTCCAGTCCCTTCTTCAGAGAGGCCCTGCTTGCTTCAGCGCCCCTACCCCTCCCGCCAGTCAGTGGGGTCTCAGCCCCCAACCCTGCCACCACCGTAGCTGCCTCCTCCTCCTCTACCACCACCACCACCACCTCCTCCTCTTCCTCCTCTTCCTCCTCCTCTCCCCCTCCAATCTCTCCCCCTGCCTCACCCCCACCCCGAGTCCTGGAGCTGCCTGGGGTCCCAGCAGCGGCCTTCTCGGATGTCCTCAATTTCATTTACAGTGCCAGACTGGCCCTCCCTGCTGGTGGAGGGGATGGGGCCGCAGTGGCAGAGATCGGAGCTCTGGGTCGCCGCCTGGGCATCTCCCGCCTGCAGGGTCTGGGGGAGGGAGGCGATGCCTGGGTACCTCCCACCCCAGCTCCTGTAGCCACCTCGCAGCCTGAAGAGGGCAGCTTCCGGCCTGGGCCAGCCGCAGAGTGGGAAGGCGATGGGGCTGAAGCCCAGGCTCCTGACTCCCAGCCTTCCCTGTCCCGGAGGCCCCTGCCTTGCCCCCGGTGTGGAAAAAGCTTCATCCACCCCAAGCGGCTGCAGACCCACGAGGCGCAGTGCCGCCGGGGACCCGGCACGCGTGGGGGTGCTACAGCAGGGCTGGGCCCCGGGGGTCCCTCAGGAGTGGATGCCTCTGCACTGCCCTCTCCTGTGGGCTTCCGAGGAGGTCCGGAGCACGTGGTGAAGGTGGTGGGCGGCCATGTGCTGTACGTGTGCGCGGCCTGTGAGCGTTCCTACGTGACCCTGTCCAGCCTGAAGCGACACAGCAACGTCCACTCATGGCGGAGGAAGTACCCCTGCCGCTACTGCGAGAAGGTGTTTGCCCTGGCCGAATACCGCACCAAACACGAGGTGTGGCATACTGGGGAACGCAGGTGAGTGAGTGGCCCCTGGGGATCACAGGGATGGGGCATTTCGGGGGAGGAGGAGGGAAGGGCGAGCACCCCCAGAATCACCCTGAGCCTCGCTTGCTCACTGCCAATTCATCCTGTGCCTTCCTCCAACCCCAGTCCCTTCAGCTGCTGTTGGTCAGTTCCTCTGCCTGTCCCCTACCTCCCACTGCTCCAGCAGCCTGGTGCTGGAAGGAAGGCAGTTCTAGAAGGAGAGTGAGCGCAGCCCTCTCAGGAGAGGACAGTGGGTGCACCAGCGTGTCTACCAGTCCTGACAGCCTTTAAACCCACATCTGGAATTTCCCCAGTGTGCCCTAAGGTGTTTCCCTGTTCTGCCACCCACCCACCCACCCACTGAGTTATGTACAAAGGCAGCTATTTCCCCGGGTCACAGTCATGATCATGGATGGGATGGCCAAGGCTTTGGGAACCTCACAGCTCACAAGGGCCACTGAGCTGGGACTTGTACCCTGGGGATATCACACCAACTGAAGCGGAGGGGTCAGGAAGCTGAGGCCCCCAACTTAAGCAGCTGTGTTCCTGCCCTGTTCCCTACTGTCCCGGCCCAGGTACCAGTGCATCTTCTGCTGGGAGACCTTTGTCACTTATTATAACCTGAAGACCCACCAGCGAGCCTTCCATGGCATTAGCCCGGGCCTCCTGGCCAGTGAGAAGACACCCAATGGAGGCTACAAGCCCAAGCTCAATACCCTCAAGTTGTACCGCCTGCTCCCCATGCGGGCAGCCAAGCGGCCCTACAAGACCTACAGCCAGGGGGCCCCTGAGGCCCCACTCTCTCCAGGCCTCCATGCACCGGCCCCTGTGGCATTGCCAGCAAGCCCCCCTCCCGGCCCCCCACCTGCCCCTGAGCCTGGCCCCTCGCCCTCTGTCATCACCTTCGCTCACCCGGCCCCCTCTGTCATCGTGCATGGGAGCAGTAGCAGTGGGGGAGCAGCAGGTGGGCCAGCAAGCACTGGAGGGGCCCAGGCTGCCTCCGTCATCACTTACACTGCTCCCCCTAGACCCCCCAAGAAACGCGAGTACCCACCCCCTCCCCCTGAGCCTGCAGCCACACCCACCGGCCCGGCCACTGCAGTTTGTCCAGCCACCCCTGCAGGGCCAGCCGCTGCAGCCACAGCGGCCACCACGGCAGAGGAGGCCAAGGGCCGGAATACCCGGACTGGGAGGACCCTGACCTACACAGCCAAGCCGGTGGGCGGGGTTGGCGGGGGCGGGGGTCCCCCCCCAGGGCCTGGCCGGGTCCCCTCTCAGCTACAGGCTCCACCTCCACTGTGTCAGATCACTGTGCGAATTGGGGAGGAGGCCATTGTCAAGCGCCGCATCTCAGAGACCGACCTGCATCCAGGAGAGGTGAGCGGAGAGGAGGTGGAGGAGAGTGAGGAGGAGGAGGAAGAGGATGAGGAAGACGAGGAGGAGGACGAGGAGGACTCGAAGGCCAGCGGGGAGGATCAGCTTTGGAGGCCCTACTACTCCTATAAGCCTAAGCGCAAGGCCGGAGCCGCGGGCGGTGGCGGCAGTGGTGGAGGCGGTGGAGGAGGCGGGGGCGGCGGGGCGCCCCGGAGCCGCCGGCTGCAGCGCTGGAGGCAGAAGCTGGAGCGGAGGAGCTGGGAGGAGACCCCGGCGGCAGGGGCTACGACGACGGCCGGGAGTCCGGCGGGGCGGGCGCGCAGTGAGCGGCGGCACCGCTGCGGGGACTGCGCCCAGACCTTCGGCACCTTAAGGAAGTTGCGGAAGCACCACCAGGAGGCCCATGGAGGGGGATCCTCCTCGCATGGTTCTCGGACCGGCCGGAGGCCTTCGAGCCGCTTCACCTGTCCACAGTGCGCCAAGGTGTGCAAGACGGCCGCTGCGCTGAGCCGCCATGGGCAGAGGCATGCGGCCGAGCGGCCCGGCGGCGCGCCCACTCCGGTCATCGCCTATTCCAAGGGCAGTGCGGGTCCCAGGCCCGGTGAGGTCAAGGAGGAGGCCCCCCAAGAAATGCAAGTCTCGTCGTCCAGCGGGGAGGCCGGCATCGGCGGCAGCGGTGGTGTTGGTGTTGGTGGCGGCGGCAGCAGCAGCGGCAGCAGCGGCAGCAGCGGGGGCGACGGGGACATGGCTGCCCAGGAAGCCTCAGAAGCTGCCTCACTGCAGGACCCCGTCATCTCGGGGGGTGAGGAGCCCCCAGTGGTGGCCGGGGCAGGCAGCTACGCGTACCAGCCCGTGCAAGAATTTCCACTGGCTCTGATCGGGAGTGGCAGGGAACCTGGTGGGGGCCGGGTGAAAGCTGGAAGTGAGGGGCCTGTGGGAGCCTCAGAGGGGGATCGGATGGAAGGGTTGGGGGCTGCCAAAGTCACCTTCTACCCTGAACCCTATCCGCTTGTCTATGGTCCCCAGCTCCTTGCCGCCTACCCTTACAACTTCAGCAACTTGGCAGCTCTGCCTGTTGCGCTCAACATGGTCCTACCTGATGAGAAGAGTGGAGGGAGCCTTCCCTTCCTCCCGGGGGTCTTCGGCTATGCGGTGAATCCTCAAGCTGCACCCCGTACTCCCCCACCCCCACCCCCACTAACTCTTCCGCTACCAATCCCCCCTAAGGGAGAAGGTGAAAAGGCAGAGGTTGAAAGAACCCAGAAGGGAGACGTGGGGTGAAGCTCTAGGACCAGACCCCACCCTTTTCACCAGATGCCACCCTCCTTGAACCCCACCCCACCCACCCACCACTACCAGCTGCCTGGCCTCCCTGCCCCTCCACACTCTGGTGCAGGGCCTGGAGTTGGGGGAGCGGGGCCCTGGAGCTCAGGGGCCAGGCTGCTCTGTGTGGGGTTGTAGTGGCTCCCCTCTCCTAGGAAGGGGTCTTGGTGGTTCCCCCTCTCAATCTTCCTCCAGGGAATGGTCTCCAGGAGGGGCAGGGCCAGCTCCCATCTCTCCTCCAAGCCCTCGGGGCAACTGAGCAATATACTCATCTGAATCTCTACTCAACAGCCCCCACCAGCTCTGAATGTCTAACTCGCACCCCCTGATTTCGCAAACCTAGGGGAAAACCATCTCTCTCACCGAAGGGTCACCCCTAGTTCTGCCCCCTCCCTCCCAGCTTTCTCTAAACCTGCCGCCCCCAGATGCTTCCTGGCACATTCCATTTGTGGCGCAGAGCCTGGACCAGACCATTGTGATGCCCGACGCCGACCCCTGGGGGAGCCTGGCTTCGGACTCCATTTTTGTGTGTCTGTCTGCTTTATGTGGCAATGCCACGCCTTCCTTGGCTTCCACGCCTTCCTTGGCTTCCACGCCTTTGGAGCTTCCATTTTCCTCCTCCCATCCTCCTGGACTTCTCTAGGTCAGGGAGATGTTGGGGGGAGGGCTGTCTTTTGGTTCTGTGGCTGTTTTCCTAACCCCGAGGGGGGGACAGGGAAATCATAGCCCAAACTTGACCTCCAAATCCAGTGAACCCCATATTCTTCCAAGGCAAAAGAGTTGAATAGATCACACCTCTTCCTGCTTCTCCACAGAGCACCAATTCTGGGCTAGACCAGATTTGGGGGCCGGGAGGCAAGAGCTCTACACGGGATGGAGAGGGGAAGCTACTTCCTCTCTGTTTTATTTCCTGCTGTTTCTCCCAGACTAGACCAAATAGCCAGAAAAGTGATGGGGGTTGGATGAGTGGGTTAAACCCAAGATTTGCACATGACCTTCCATCCTCACCTTTACCCCCCCACCTGTCTTCCCCAGTGTCGCTCCCCTCACGATCACTCCAGATGGTTTTTTGGGGGAACCATCCTACTCTCCCGGTGGGCTTTGGGGTATCCCCACCAACTTTCCCTCCAAAATAGCACCTTACACCCCACCTTCGACTCAGTTCCCCTCACCCAAAGATCCCAGCTTAGGGGATGGGAGGCAGGGACCTTCGGTAGTCCCTGAGCCCTAATTTGCACTAGTTAACCCTGGTCAGGGTTCCTGTACTTCCTTATAGTGGGGGAGATGAGGAAAGCTTTGCTCCTAATTCTCGGGAAGCCAGGCCTCCCCGCTCCGTGATTGGATGAACATTTCCCATTCCACCCTCCCCACCGCAAAGCAAAGCGAAACAAACAAAAACAGCTGACAAAAGGGGAGAGCCAGTTTGGGGGAGTAAATTGAACACACGGGAATCAGAGGAGTGCAGTTTCAAAAGGGGACAAGGCGCTGTCACTTAAGTGGCCACCTTTGACCCAGCTACTGGTTTTTTTTGTGTTTGAGGGGGTGGCCAAGATGGCTGCCCTCACGGCTGACTCTCTGAGGGGGCCAGATCTAGGCTTTTGGAGGGAGGTGGTCTGGGGCGGGGCCAGGAGCATCCTTCTGCCCTGCCAGCGGCCAGGCTATGTTGACAGGCTCCCTGAATGTTAACTGCGTGCACGGAGGAGTCGACTCCTTCATCCCTCCTCCTCTGTCTCTTTGCACTTTCTTGGTCTTAGCCACAACCTGAGGTGAAGAATTTTCTACTGAATGTACCAAGTTCCTTTTCTTTCTTTTTTTTTTTTTAAGGGGAGGTTAGGGCGGGGAGTTTCAAACAGGGAAAAAGAACGCAAAAAAAAAAAATCACTAAAAATTCCCTCAAGTCTTGTTTCTGGCACTTTAGAAAAACTGCGGGGAAAAAAAGTACATAATAAAGAATACATATATATATCTACACACAAATTATATATATATATCTATATGCAGCAGAACCACAAGAGACTGAGGAAGGCCTGGTGACAGGGGAAGATGGGACAGTCCCCTGTGTCCTCTAAGAGTAAACAGGCACAGGAGGACTGGGGTGGAGAGGGACTTTGAGGATGGAGCAGGGACTTTGAAAATCAGATTAGGTCAAAATTCAAACACCATGCACGTTTTGGGAGAATTGAGATTGTAGACTTTTTTTTTTTTTAATTCTTAAATACAACTAAGGAACATAGCTTTCAGAATCCAGTGGGTCTGTCTGGGTAACCCATAAGAATTGTGGCATAAAGTGGAAATTAAAATATCTGTATTGGAGCTGGGGAATTTGCATACTGTGAGTTTCAGATGTTGGCAAGCGGGAATTTTTACAATTTTGTCTCTTGAACATGCTCAAGTCTTGTCAGTGTGCGCCCTCCTTACCCCACCCTGTGATTCCCTGTTTGCCCACCCCGGGGTAGGGGGTGGGGGGGTGGGGGAGAAAGGGCAGTGTGGGTGGGGAGTGTGGAGACCGCTGGTTCTGTGCCACACAGCACGCTGAGATTTAGAATTCTACAGACTCTAGCTCTCTACGTAGTGAGGACCCAGATGTAGAAAACCTGATCACTATTTATCTCCGCATCTGTTGTGTGTGTCTAGGCCAATAAACCAACAGGACAAACTGTGCTCTTCAGTGGGATGCCAAGGTGCAATTTTTCGCGTGGTCAGGAGGGAGTGGGGGAAGTGCTGACCTGTCCCGTGGGGCTTTCGGAGCAGCCTCCATTCTTCCCTATCACCTTTTAAAGCCAGGAACCAGGCTGATTTCAGCCCGCCAGGAGGCAGGCACATCGGCCCAATCCTGTTGCCCAGACCTGCTGCACCTGACTGCCTTTGCCTGGGGCAAGAGCTCTGCTGCCCCAGAATGGGTCAAATCAAAAGGAGGCTGGGGCAGTAGAAGGAGTGAGAAAGAAAAAAAACTCATCCATCATTCACTTGTCAAACTACTGTAACAGCCAGGGGTGGATCAGGCGAAAGCTCGGTGCCTAGCCCTCCATCCCAGGTTTCCCACATGGATGGCAGGGATCCAAGCACCTAAGCCTATCATCTTTGGTCGTTTCGGATACATGAGCAGAATGACAAGTTGGAAACAGTCGGGACTCAAACCGGCCCTCTGATACAGCGTGCAAGCATTAGCAGTGGCAGCCTTGCTCTGACATAGCACAAGGCCTTGGTCCAAGTGAGTACCTGTTAATCAGCTCCAGCCAGTGACTGCCAATAGGGAAGCCAGACAAAGGATTGCCATGTATATATATATATATATTTTTTTTTTTTCTTTATTCCTTTGAAAGGTAAAAGAACAGGGAGAGACAGACAGAGATCTTCCCCCTGCTGATTCATTGCCCACATGCAACAAACACTGGAATGGGGCTTAAGCCAACAGCCAGGAGGCACTCAGTCTGGATATCCTATTTGGGTGGCAGGGACTTTCTTTTCTTTTTTAATTTATTTTTATTGCATCACTTCTCGGCCTTTTGGCTAAGATTAAGTGTAGTATCTGTTCTTATCTGTTTGTTTTTATTGGAAAGGCAGATTTACAGAGAGGAGAGACAGAGGGCAAGATCTTTTGTCCAATGGTTCACTTCCCAAGCGGCTGCAATGGCTGGTGCTGACCCAATCTGAAGCCAGGAGCCAGGAGCCTCTTCCAGGTCTCTCACACAAATGCAGGGTTCCAAGGCTTTGAGCCATCCTCCACTGCTTTCCCAGGCCACAAGCAGGGAGCTGGATGGGACGCGGGGCTGCTGGGATATGAACCGGTGCCCATATGGGATCCTGGCACGTTCAAGGCAAGGAGTTCAGCTGCTACGCTATTGTGCCAGGCCCAGCAGAGACTGTCAAGTACATGAGCCCTTACCTGCTGCCTCCCACGGTGTACCTTAGCAGGAAGCTGAATTGGAAACTAAGGCAGGACTCCATTCCAAGCAGTCTGAGACCAATGCAGGTAGCCCAACAGTGACTGTACCAGCGATGGCACAGCTCCCCTTGCCAATACCATTGGAGTCAAAACATTTGTTTATTTGTCATGAGAAACCCGGCATCTAAGGTTCACAGTGCAAGATCCACTCTTTAAAATGTGCAGGCCAACACGGACAAAACAAAACACCTCTGTATGCAACCTCTGCTACCGACTGAATATGCTTCTGTCTTCATCTTCTCATGGGCTCCGCAGGCAGTCCCGCGGAGCATATACCATTATAAAGTCCATTTCACAGCTGTGGAAACTGAGGTCCAAAGGAGTTTAGTGGCCAGTCCAGGGCTTGGAACCAAAGCTGGAACTTTCATGGATATCTTTAAAATGTTCCCCTCCCTTGTTATTATGCATACACCGTTTAGAATAATCTCTTTCTCATCCTATAGCCAATACTTATTACAAAACAAATTACAGCAAAGTAAACGCAACAACACCAAAAAAATGACCACTAGCCCCAACAATCAAACCTAAGTAATCCTGATGGTTGTTATTTCCTCCCAAAGTTATTTGCCCTATTCATTCGCTAAACCTTAAGGACCTGGGCATGTTGTGGTGCACAAACACCCATGTCTCACCCTCATGAGGTTTCCAATAATGGATTTCATTGGGGACCCAGGGGTTGACATCCAAAAGAGGTTCTTCAAGAACCCAAAGAAGAAATAAGCTGACAAACCAAGAGGACTGGGTTCCCAAGGCCCAAGCCAGAGGCACAGAAAGCCAGCTCTTTAGATGACCACTCAACCTAGTTGAACTGTCATCAAGGAAAAGGGTCGGCAGGAGGCAGGTGGTAGGTGGCGTCCAGGAAGATGACCAGGGTCCCGACGCTTGTGAAAATGATGAAGGTCCATAGGAAGAGGCGGTCCACGACCATGGCCACAAACTGCCAGTCCTCCTTCAGCTGGGGGTAGGCGGAGCAACCTGTCTGAACCCCAATGCCCACACTGCCAGGGAAGCCCCCATTCCCCGACAAGAGCGTACCCCGTCTCCTGGACCCTTCCAGTCAAAGCCTGAGGCAGCAGCTTGACCGCAAAGACCCCCCCACCTCCCCTGCCACTGACCGAAAGTCGGACAGTAGGGGGCGGGATCGCAAGAGGCAAACTTTCTATCAGAACCGAAACGGAGTGCAAGTGGCGGAGCCGTGGATTGCGCGGCGGAGGTCACCGCGGCCGGGGACTCACCGCATCGTGGTCCTCCTGTTGCTGCAGCTGTCGAGCGATGTAGCCGATGGAGGAAACGACCTCCCGCAGCTCTGGAGGTAAGCGTACAGCCCGGTTTGGACCATCGAGAAAACGCTGGAGGTCCAAGGCTGATAGTTCTGGTTGGAACCTGGAAGAGGCGTGACATACAATCCAGCGCCCAAGGATCGCTGCTGCAGTAACCTGTTAGTTCTTAAAGCCTGCCAAGGTCCTTCAGACCTTCCCTGCCAGAGGCGGCGGCTTAATCCTTCGGGTAACTTTTTCCACCCTTTCAAGCTTTAGTTCCCATTTCCTCTGAAAGGGAACAGAAACAATACTATAACTCCCATGATGCTCAGCCAAGTGTCTTCCGGGAACACGAATTGCTGGCTTCCTCAAAGTCTAATGGGAATCGTAGTTCTCCCTTTCCTTTCCACGTGGGCGATGACTGTAGCGCCTACCTGTTGAGTTTAGGGAAGAGAAAATCATTGGGTGGCTTCCGGATGAAATATTCATCTGTCCCTCGGCCCCAGCCAATTCCTGGAGGAGAAGAATGAAGGGGCTCGGGCATCTGATCTCTCTCAGGTTTGGGCCTCTTCAGACCCAGGTAGAGAGGGAGCTTGTGGATGAAGATCTGCAGGACAGAAAGAGAGGCGACTCCTCAGACCACAAGGAGATCAGCTAGCCAACCCTGCTCCACACATCCGCTCATGCACGTGTCTGCTGGCATCCCACAGAGCCACACAACCCTGGCTGGCAGTTCCCACAAAGCTGCCATGGCAAGATCGAGCAGCACTCTCTCACCTGCCGGACCCACGGGGGCATTTGGTGGGTGTGAGGTGAGCGGTGGTGCAGGTTGAGGACCACGACACTGAAGATGACGGAGAAGGTAACAAGGATCATGGTGAACATGAGGTACTTGATGATGATGGGCACCGCCAGTGAGGTCTCGGGCACTTTGTCCGCCAGCAGCAGCAGGAACACAGTGAGTGTCAGCAGAGCAAAGATTGACAGCCCCATCTTCTCTCCTTGGGGTGGGGGGACAGAGTGGAAGCAGAAAGGATTGGCTTTTGCCCACAAGAAATCTCTGTGGCCTTGTGGGTAGCTGTGTCCTCAGTCCACTGCAAGATGGGCTTTTGAAAACCACCAGGACACGTGAGGGACTTCTCCCTGCAACTCGAACTTCATGCCTACCTGCCAACTCAGCCGCACCCCTGCAATGTCCAATAGACACCTCCAACGTCATGTGTGCCAGACCTAATTCTGACACTGCTACCTCACCAAAGCTGCTCCTCCCACAGTCTCTCCCCAGCGCCTCCATGACAACTCCAGCTCTCTTGTGGATGAGAACAAGTTCCTTTTAAAAAAATAAATTATTTTTTATTGGAAACACCAATGTACAGAGAGAAGGAAAAAAAAGAGAGAAAGATCTCCTGTCCACTGGTTCACTCCAAGTGGCCTGCCACCCACTCGGGGAGCTAGACTGAGTTCTCAGAGGGGCACTGTTGTGGGCATTCAGGGAGCACACCAGCAGGTGGGAGAGTTTTGTCTGTCTCTCTCATATCAGAGAGAACGGAAACCAACACTTACCCAGAACTTTCCGGGCACCAGGCCCTCAAAATAATCTCATGCAATTGCACATTGATTATCTCTAGATCAGGAAATTAGGACACAGAGATGAAGCCATTCATCCAGATTGCTCATTGACTCTGTTATAACAAGGGCACCTAAAGAAATGCGGGCCATTATTTTCCAGGAAGATAGGAGGTTAGGGGAGTCACAGGTGTCTGAAAAATGGGGAGAGGGATGCCAGCTACAGGGGTAGGGGAGAGCAGGTCAATCCCAGAAGTTTGTTGCTCAGAGGAGTGAGGATTCCCTGGAGGGAAAGCAAGGATGCTAAAGGGAAAGAATTCAAATGCCAATGGGGGCCCATCGTGGTAGCCTAGAGGTTAACATTCTCGCCTTGCATGTGCCTGAATTCTACATGGGTGCTGGTTGCATTCTGGCGGGCCCTGCTTCTTGCCTGAGACCTGGGAAAGTAATCAAGGATGTCCCAAAGCTTTAGTACCCTGCGTGGAAGACCCAGAAGAAGCTCTTGGCTCTTGGCTTAGAAACAGCTCAGTTCCTGCTGTTGTGGCCACCTGGGGGGTAAATCAGTGCATGGAAGATCTTCCTCTCTGTCTCTCCACCTATCTGTATATCTCACTTTCCAATAAAAACAAGTACATATTTTTTTAAAAATGCCTGAGGGAGGGGGCTGGCATTATGTGTCAACAGGCTAATCCTCCACCCTGTGGGCACCAGCATCCCTTATAAACACTGGTTCAAGTCCCAGTGTCCACTTACAATCTTGCTCCACTTCGAATCTTGCTTTCTGCTTAGATTCTAGGAAAACAGCGGAGGATGGCCTAAGTCCTTGGGCCCTGCTGCCATGTGGGAGACCCAGAAGAGTCTCCTGGCTCTTCAGATTAGATCAGCTCTGGCCATTGT